CCCCCCCCGGGCAAAATTAAAAATCAATTTCTTCCAAACTGAAAATGTTTCATGTGTCCTCGCGCTTATATGACCCTACGCAGTTGCGAGCGCCGTAAAACACTTACCAAAACAAGAAACAACTCGAGCACACGCAAGAGCACCACAGATTATGAAAATGCAAAAAATAAAAGAATAAACTGTTGGGCTCAGTATATCTGAACAGGAAGGCGCGGTGGTGGAACAGTTAGTGCGCTCGTCATCTCCGAAGCGGAAAATCAGGGTTCGAGCTTCGTCCCCTCCTGCCCACCCAGCAGTAATGGGTACCTGACTTCGAGTTGGGGAAGTAAAGGCGGCGTGGAGAGGAACTGGCCACCCTACCACAATATGCCTAAGGCCCAGGAAGTTGTCTCACTGACAAGGCAATCCCCAATGTCTGGATCAGATGCGGGAACAACTTTACTTTATTTTACAAGAACAACTGGTTCACACTATACTCTGTTCCGTGGTTTTATGCACCCCGCATAATTTAGCAAAATTGGATCCTTTTTTTTGCATAATTTTTGATTATTTTCCTTTATCATTCTTTGTTAAAAATTAACAGAATCGCATAATTTCACAATTTTGGGCTCAGTTTGTATAATTTCAGAATTTTTCTTGCATAAAACGACGAGGACAGATAATTAATTACGACAGGGATAGTATACTGTATTTGTTTATCGTCCTGGTATTTCCCAGTCACCGATCTGTTCTACGTTTCTTAGTACATTTCAAGTTGTTCTTGTTTTAGCTCTATGTCCCTGCATACACCACAAAACAATGTTTGTGTGCACACCTTTTTATTACAGCCAGCTCGCACTTTTGCCACTTTTAAGAGGCGAACATTTTCATTCAGCCCACCTACCGGTATTTCCAAGGGGGACATTAATTTTAATAAATAACACCTGCATGGTCTTTCTCGCCACCCACCAAAATGACCACATCGCCCAGCGCGTGTGGCAAATATCGCCAAGGTTGGCAAACTCTGCCGTAGAGTACATTCATTTGTATACGGTATCGATCTTTTCCTGGCTCAGCTTCAAGAGACAATCGCCTGTACAAATGGACCACTTTCTACCACCCCACCCCCAACCTCCTTACGTTTTTTCCCTTTTCTATAACATTATTAGCATTGGAGAATATTGTAACAACAGGCAAGTTTGATGGAAAGAGAGGCAGAGGCAGACAGAGGGAAAATATACTGGACAAGGTGACGACATGGCTGGGAGCAGCAAGAACAACAGACACCATTGCTGCAACGCAAGACAGAGTGAAGTGGAGGTCCATGATCGCCCACGCCAGTCGGCAAGGCACTGGATGATGATGATGTTATTACTAATTCATTGTTATAAAGGCATTGTTTAAGGCGTCCACTCTTCCACGGATTATATTTTTCTTTTTTTGTCCTCGACACTGGTTGGCCATCTTGGACAATTTCGAGCGTATCATTCTTATGTTTTGTTTTAGTAATGTTTTACGGCGCTCCCAACTGCGAAATGTCATACGAGCGCCAAAAGGGTGGATGTCAATAGAGAAGTCCCTGCGGCACGGGGAATCAGGCTTACTCTGTTCATCTCTCTAGCCTCAACAGCACAAAGTCTGCTTAGACTATCTAGACACCCCGGAAATAGCAGTTCACAAGAAAGTGACAAACATACAAAAGAAGTAGAGGAAAAATGACGATAGTAAGGATGAGGAAAGAAACAGCAGCAGTTCCCCTTATGTTGTTCCGGCACAGTATGAGCATGACATTGATTAATCAGCCCATTTGCAATTCTACTGCGCTTAAGAACTTGTGGTTAATATCCCCCTTTTGATAATGACCTAAAGACAACTTCAGTCAGTAGCACTACCCTGGTGGGAAGGGGGAAGGGTATCATTATGATGATGATGATGATCATCATCATCATCATTATTAATATTATTATTGTTATCGATCTTTCCCCGACTCAGCGGAGCGAATCGACATCGTGATCTATAATCATGACGAGAAGGAGGAGGCGAGGCCAGAGTACAACAACACCCTCCAGTGTTACTTCTGCTTCAACAATGACGGCACAGGCTGCATGGAGATGAACAACGTGTCCCTCATACCCGTGGGCAACTGCACCAGGAAGGAGCGATTCTGCAAGGTCGGTCAGTTATGATACGTTGCGCTCATTAGAAAGGTATCAGACAAATGGTCGCTTTTAAGGACAAGCGGGCTAATCCAGATTTCGGGGATTTCCAGATATCTTGGCCTACACTGAACATAAACTTTACCTTCCATTTTCTCAAAACAGCATTTTTCGGGATAACCCCCTTGTGCTTAAGAGCGACCATATGTTGTTGCTTTTAGTGAACTTTCTTGCAAGATACTTGCTAAGGTGTGTAATCTCCGCAGGCAAAAGGAAATTGTACCGTAAAACTCTTACTAAAACTAAATCTTCTTGTTGTTTCTGTATATTTTTTCAGGTCCGACTACTACGGACTACTGTTTCTGGGTTACTATGGTATACTGATGACCATATTGTGTGGCAAGTGTCGTGAAACTCTTACTAAAACTTGTTGTTGTTGCTGTTGTATATTTCAGGTCCGGCGTTTGGACTACTACTGTTGTTGTTACTGTAGTGCTACGGTAAACTGGTGACCATATTGTGTTGCAAGTGCCGTGAAACTCTTACTAAAATTTGTTGTTGTTGCTGTTGTATATTTCAGGTCCGGCGTTTGGACTACTACTGTTGTTGTTACTGTAGTGCTACGGTAAACTGGTGACCTTATTATGTTGCAAGTGCCGTGAAACTCTTAAAACTATAACTAAAACTTGTTGCTGTTGCTGTTGTACATTCCAGGTCCGACGTTTGGACTACTACGGCAAACTGATGACCTTTGACCGTCACTGTAGCGAGTACTGTGAGCCGGGCTGTAGGACGGCAGCGTACTACGAGGAGTGTGTGAGCTGCTGCAGTGACCGGAACTTGTGCAATGTGGGCGGGTCGGCGTTGTCATGGCAACCGAGATGCGAGCTCATCTCCGCGATGTCGATGTTTTCGACGTTGGCCGCCGTCTCTCATCTTGTTGGCCTCCGGGCTGGGTTGTCACGACTTTGGTTGTTGTGACCGACCTATTCTCATTCTTTCTCTTTCTCTTTCTCTTTCTTACTTTCAGTTTTCATTTCTGTTCTTTCTGTTGTTTTTTTTTGGTGTTTTTTTTGTCGTTATTTTTATTTATTGATTACTTTCTACTAGATGTGTACGTTTCTTTTTTTTTCTTTTTTATTTACCTTTTGACTACTTTTTACCTTGATAGTTTCTTCTTTGCTTATTTACTTATTGATTACTTTCTACTTTGATAAGTTCTTACTTTTGTATTCTATTTAATTACTGTTTATTTTCTGAAACCGTTTATTGTTTCTTCATCTACTTTAAATACCACGTTTGAGTAGCAGGCTCTACCGATTTGATTGTCATGGATTGAGTAATGATTTAGGAGAAGAAAAAAAAAGAGATACTGTTTTAAGACTGTTCCTAAGGTGCTCAAGGTACTTGGACTCTAGTTGATGCTCCTTGATATGGTCGCTTTTAAGCACAAGGGGGCTATCCCGAAAACTGCTGTTTTGAGAAAATCGAAGGTATAAGTTTTTGGATCCTTATTTCGTTTCCTTAAAAGGCGAGGATAGTTTTCTCTATTACTAAATAAATAAACACACCAATGAAACCAAACTTCTTCTATAGATAGGTCAAAGCAAACTTTTTGTGTAGGTCAAGATTTCTGGAAACCCCCGAAATCTGGTTTAGCCTGCTTGTCCTTAAAAGCGACAATACAGCAATAAATAAACGAAACAAACAAAAGGGATTGTGGGAATGAGGAATGGCAGGTATGAGGTGAATGTGATAAAGGAAAGTGCATAAGGTGCATTTTATGAAAGCTTCCGATCACAGACAACAATGAGTGGCAAATCATTAATGATGATGATGATGATGATGATGATGATGGCGACGACGACGACGATGATGATGATGATGATGATGATGATGATGATGATGATGATGATGATGATGATGATGATGATGATGATGATTTTACGAGAAAACAAAAGCATGAATTTTTTCTTTCTTAGTTTCAAATCTTTATTTATTTTCTAGAAAGTTTGATTTATTTCTTTATTCAAATTCATTTTTTTCAATTAATACTTATGTGCTCTGTTTCTTTTCTTAAAAAAAAAAGAAAACTTTTAATCCATTTCTTTAATTTGGATGCATTTTTAAGTTCATTTCTGTGTATATTTTTGGAGGTTTGTTTCTTCTGTTGTTATGGTTATTATTTTTGTTGACGTTCTTGCTAATGGTTTTTCAACGTTGTTTCTGTTACTATGTAGTGGTCGTAGCCATTGCTTTTTCGATCGCTAACTAGGCATTTAAACTTAGTTCTGCGCTGTGCGTTTTTCTTTTTATTCTACTGTTAATGAGGATGATTGTCCTATTTAAATCTATTTTGACGTTGCTCTGGAAAGCCTAGAATATATTGAGACGCGAAGCCTATGCACGAAACATATCACTGCTGCAATCAAACTGACTGGAACTTGTGTAGTTCTGCAGCCTCAGCAATTGTAATAGTAGTAATGACAATAATAATAATAATATTACCAACTTGCAAAAATCCAAAGATCTTGGAACGGCAAATTGTACATATGCAGTACCGGTACTTCAGTTTCAATCATACAAAAATTATACTGTCCGGAGGAGATACGGCTGTACTTTCTTCTGACAAAATTGATCTAACGTATTTTTATGCTGTCGGCTCCAAACTCCCGGATGTCATAACAGTGTAGCCAAAACTGACATGCATTTAGCTTGGGGAGACTATTCAGGGCGGTTTTTAAATTGAAAAAATATTTATGGGGCAAGGGGGGGGGGGATGTGGTTACCTCTGATAGGTCCTACTTCTTTCCTTTCCCGCTGATGTGTCTGTCTGCCCATCTATTCATTTTGCTTTCCTTTCACTAAAGGCTGAAATCGGTCGAAGGGGTTTTTTTTCTACAAAGAGAAACTATTGCAGAACTATGAACTTTATTGTGATATAACGAAGTATCTGGGTCTTGTAGATGAGAGGGAAAAGGTAAAACTTAAACTTAAAAGCCAACCAATGAAGCTGTTTTTATCGTTCTACATGTATGTTGCATTCTTCCAGGTATCTATGCAACATCGCACGTTATCAGTTACAGTGAATGTAAGCAAGTTTGACAGATCAATAAAAAAAAGCAAGGAAATAAGAAATACGTAGTCAAATAAACGATTTAATGTTACGGCTTGTTCTTTGTAAAAGCAGATGAAGTTGAAATTTAGTTGATAAATAAATTATTGATGTGTTGCTTCACCTAGCTAGGCCTACCTATTAGTTATCTTTATCATTGTAGTTTTCGTGAAGTTCTCTATTTCCAAACTTGAACCTTATCAAACGTACCGAATCGTTTCATAAGAGTCTATACATCATCTGCCAAGTGTTGAGTAAGGTGGGCTGCTGGTTATGAGAATAGTTTCTTTGACTTTGACTCTTCATTCTCACACTGACGACAGATATCCAAACCTAGGGTTGTGAGAATAGATTCTTTGACTTTGTGTGTTCCAGAGAGGTTATTATATGTAATACCAGAGCTCGCAGCAGTGACGTCACACGTGTCAGACATGGGGACCTTTTTACTCTCATTAGCATGGTCGGCGTGCTCCCATTTACATGAAAAATCTGAACCCCTACCCCGTTCTCCACGAGCTCTATAGTATATTAAATACCACCCTGCTCTCATAATTCTGTCCAAGCTTGCAGATTTCCTCCTGAGACCGCCGAGACGCCTCCACGTGAGTATCGAAAAGAACTCACCCGTCTGTTGAACTGCGCATGTCTTGCCCTTGGGCTTGAGGTTCCACGTCCCAGAGTGGGCACACGCAGCCCCCGTTCGCTCACGTGGGGCACATCACTGCCACGAACTCTTAGTATTAAATATACCCTCTTTGGGGTGTTCTCACACCGCAGACGGAAATCCAACCTATGGTTGTTGTGAGAATAGCTTCTTTGACTTTGATTGTGTATTCTTACACCGAAAACGGATATCCAAAGTATGGTTGTGAAAATAGGATACCCAGCCTATGGTTGTGAGGATAGTTTCTTTGACTTTGTGTGTTCGCCTCACACCGAAGACGGAAATCCAAAGGTTTTGTTTATAATTTATAATCGACCAATCAGCATTGTACTACTATTGAATATTAAACTGACTGCGTTTTTTTTTTCTTCTAAAGACAGCGGTTGTGAGAAGATAAATCTGCAGCCAACAGAACGATTCTGCATTTTAACTGCATTTACAACTGTTGTGATTACTGTATTGTTTCACTACTTTCAGTCTATACAACAACAGAGCACTTTCTTTACCATTCCATTTCTACATAATCCTTATCTTTGTGCATGTATGAATCATTTTTATTAATTGGTCGCTTTTAAGCACAAGGTGGCTATCTCGAAAAATGCTGTTTTGAGAAAATCGAAGGCAAAGTTTTTGCCCCTTGTTCGGTTTCGTTAAAAGACAAGGAGAGTTTTTTCTATAACCAAATAAATATACACACCAATGAAACCAAACTTCTCCTATAGGTAGGGCATTTCCCACTTTTGATGTAGGTCAAAATTTCTGGAAACCCCCGAAATCTGGGTTAGTCCGCTTGTCCTTAAAAGCGACCTATTAATCATTAATTGTTTATTGACATTATGTGACTTTTCAGGGAATCCCAGGCATATCGCTACTTTAGAATTACAGGATATTTTTTGACGTTTTGAGTTACCAGGACAATGATGTCAGAAACCAATTAATGTTCTATCTGCTGTATCAAAATCGTAAGATTATTCGGAGTCGTAATCAAGATATATGTAAAAAAAAAATTGAATTCGAAAAAGCTTGAAATATTTTGTGAAACCCAAAGTTTTTGAAGTTCGATTTCTCAAAACCAGGCACTGAGTAGATAGAACTTTGTAATTCTGAAGTTGCGACATGTAGATTTATGTTTTAAATTGATTTTGTGACCGTGTGTTACTGAGACAGCTTTTTTAGAGAACAGAGGTGTGCAAGCATATTGCAGTAACATTGTAAAGTGTGGTACGACGCGGTGGAATCAGGCCCTCGTCAATTTTTGGGTACTTGGAGCTATTGGTATAATCTGAAAGCTTTTTCATTTGCCTTGCTTTTATTGAAATAAATATCCATCTATCTTGAGTAGAAGTCAAAATATTTTCAATTGAAGGAAGTGAAGTTGCCTGGTTTTAGTGGTGAAATTAGCGAGAAAATTGCCAGCAAAGTTTGGCACAGAGCCTTTCAAAACAGAAAAACGACATATTTTGTGCCTTTAATCAATGTTTTTCAGTAAAATTCACATGGAAATGTGTTTTTATATGGACATTGAAGTGGTTGAGCCAAAAAAGAAAAATTCGATAAAATCTTCCTAACTGGCGAAAAAATGCCCTTTTCTCCGAGTTCGTTATTTTGACGAACGCCTGATTCCACCACGTCATTACACGTATTTTTGTTGTCGTATTATTAAGTATTAGCATTCAGCCTAATGTGTTTACTGTAGTAAAATACCACCACGACAACCACCACCAAAACAACAACAACAACAACAGCAGCAACAACAACAACAACAACAACAAAAACACCACCAACAATATTATAATACAGTACAATAACAACAACAGCACAAAACATTATAGTCATTATCAACAACTACAACAGGCCAAAAAAATAATAATTAAAAAATCAAAAAAAATCCATGCATGTTAAAGTTGGTCTCTGAACATCCTGTGATTCCCAACAATCTTAAACTTTAATAAAAAAATGTCGTGCTCCTACGCTCCTTACTCTTGTTAAGATGGTATTTTTCAACATTTTAGTTTCCAATAACAACAAATTCCTTTTTTCATGTGTTTTTACAGTTATTGGCCCTTGAATCTCCTTACAACGTATACTGGAGTCCGTTTAAACTGAACACGTTTATCCGAGGATAGTGGTTAACCGAAAGAAAATGAAATCCCCAATTTTTTTTGTCCCTTTTATTTGAGCAACCTCTCTAAACTGAATGCCCGGTTAAATCGTGAAATAAATAAATAAATAACCAACAAAAACGAAACAAAACAACAGCAACAAATAACCAAAAGAAAAACGCAACAAAAAATAAAAACAACAATAACAATAACAACAACAACAACAACAACAACAACAACAACAACAACAACAACAACAACAACAACAAAATAACCAACAAAAAGAAAACAAAACCCGGCGGCCCGTAGGTCTCGGTTTAAGCGGGCTCCGCTGTCTTTCGTGTGCCAAGAAAAAGAAACTTGTACATAATACTGTGTAGTATTAAAACCCGTGTTTTAGTTTATTAAGATGTGCTGCTCTTATCTTAATTTTCGAAAGCGGGGGTCACCAAACATTTGTTCATTTGTTTGTATG